ATATTTCTACTTTTAATCTTTCCCGTCCCTCTGAAATCAAGGTACTTGTTGAAAGGAACATAACTTCAATTGCTTCCGAGGAAATTTGGTTAGACACAACACTATAAATATTGGCAAAGGGTTGTGATTGAGCATTTCCCTTCATATTGCTCAAATTGCCGTCTGTTCAACCACTCAATTTCTCAATGTCATCATCTACACCCTCATGTAAGACCAAAGAAGCAGAGTGTTCAGCCAGAGGCGGTGACTCCCCCTCCTCCTGATTTGCTCCAAGTTATTGAAACTATTGATTATCATAATAATACTCCTTAAGATCTCACGATCTTCGAGGATAATATGCCACACAAAGCTCATGATATAGCCCCCCCCCCCCCCCCCCCGTTTTCTTCTATGGTCGTGGGGGCAGGGGAGACATTTCATACTTCTCCTGCCCTAGAACCTATCTTTGATGTAACAGGTGACAATATTTCTACCGTGTCTCTTCCGCCTGATCAGATTGAGCAAGTTATTATTGTTATTCAAGCACATGACGTTCATGATGTGCAATAGCCTACATCTGTCCAACAATCTTACCAATCCACTGATCAGATGAGCCAATTTTCGGATGACGAATGACATGTTTATACATCCAGGAAGAAGAAGAAGAATGAAGGCCTACTACCAAACTTGATGGATGATACATTGGTTGTTTCGGGTAATGACATCAAACTTAACAATTTGTTAGCTGACTCTCGTCCTAGATACAGAGGTAGAGACAAGGCTAAATTGGATCATTCTCTAGCTAACTGAATATGCGAGTGTTGACAAACTTTTGGCGTACAATTTCTATGTCTACATTTTAATCTTGATTTATTTGGATATTCATGTATTTTCTACGTGTCTGTTGTATGTTGGGTGGTTAGGGTGCCAATTTGGACTTTTTCATCCAACCTATATGTACATTTTTTTTATTAATATATTTGTCTTTGGACTTTTCTATATATATATACTCCATTACTTAGAAGCTGACATGGTTTCGTTCCTTTCTACTAGGGTTTCGCCTCATGGCGAACCCTAGTTTTCTGCTACACGGATCTCCCATTTCTATTCCTTGCTTTGTCTTCGTCGACGGGTGCTCTCGTATTCCCTGCTTCGTCTTCGTCGACGAGTGGCGTCCCGTTTTCGCATCCAGACGATGAGGCAGGCCGAGTTATCGCATTTCCTTCCAGAAGACGTCCTCGTCTGTCTAGGACGCCTCTTTCGCAGCCTCCTTCGCAGTCCTCTCGTCTCGGTCTGGAGACAGAGTTGCTGCTCTACTCGCTTGGTCGCGTTCGCACTGCTCTGTTCGCATTTTTTTTCAAACGACGTCTCCACCCTTCATGTCCGACAAAATCTTGTCGGCAGAGATGGCTATCCGTTCTTATGCTACTGCGCTTGCTGGCGACCTCTCGATTCCTACTCGTGCTCCTCTTTCAGAATCAGAGATTGGTTTTCGTATAGGTAAATCTTGCAATGTTCCTCAATCTTTTCACGATGCTCTTGAAGGCGGTGACGATCACACCTTCATAAAAAAATTGGGGAAAAAAATGGGAAATCTGCTCTTATTCTGACACAGAGGTTGAAACCAGTACTCTCGCGTCATCTTGGCGTTTTGCCGTAGTGGTAAAATTTCTTTATGGTAACCCAAAATTGGATATCATTCAGAAAGAGTTTGAGGCTTTAAAACTATTGGACAATTAAAATATTGGTTTACTTGACGGTCCGGACATACTTATTCCGTTGTCCCAAGATGGTGGTTTTACCCGCATCTTTTCTCGGAAAGTTATCAAGATCGACAACCGTTATATGAAAATTTTGAAGTGGACTGTTGATTTTAACCTAAAGGCGGAGTCCTCTATCATTCTAGTTTTGATAAAATTTCTGGGCTTAAAATTAGATTTGTTCAATTTAAAAATTCTCTACTCCTTAGCAACTGCTTACGGTAAGTCTCTCAGGGGTGATAGTCTTACATTTGCTGTCACCAAACTCTCTGTGGCTTGTGTGTTAGTTGAGAGGGATATCACTCAAGCAGCTCCAGATGAGGTGTGGATTGGAACCACTCACAACGAGTATCGGCAAAATGTTGAAATCGAACCACACCCTTCTTATTGCTCTCATTGTAGTATGTTTGGCCACAACTCTACTATTTGCTATCATTTACATCCTCATCTAAGACCGAATATCACTAAAGAACAACCACCTATTATCCCAGTTGAGAAGACGCAACTCGATCTTCTTCCCAACACCGCAGTTCTTGAAGAAGAGCAACATACTACAACTACAGATCCACTTGTGCTTATATCACCCACTGTTATTGAAGAAGACTCTCTCACATGCCAAGAAACACGGGAGTGTTTCTTTGATCCAATAGCAAATCAACCGGTACAACATGTTGCTGCTTCTAATGTTCAACAATCTGCACATCTCCAGCACATGGTAGATCAAGATCAGGTGAGTCAATCTTCGGAAGAGGAATAACAAGTATATTCCAAGAGGAAGAAGAAGAATGGAGGCCGACTCCAGCTAGGGAACATATTGGATTATACATTGGTTACCATTGGCAATGACAATCATCTTACCAACTTATTAGTTTGTTCCTTCCCTAGAACCAGAGGCAGAGGCAAAACCAAATTGGGTTGCTCTCTAGCCACCTGATACTTTATATTTCAGCATGTTTAGGCTTTTTCTTTATGTCTCTGCTGTACTTTTCTGTATTTTCTAGTTTTAAAACCACTTGTAGTTTTGGTGTGAATTGGGTACCATGTTTGGTATATAATAAAATTTAGGTGATATATATATATATATATATATATATATATATGTATGTATATAATTAAATCTTATAACATGAAAACAATTGCATGATCATATTTTAAAAGTTTTCGTAAATTAAATTAAATTCTTTCTTAAAATTTTCATTTTATTAATTTGTTCTATTTTTAATTAAAATTATGTTCCCTACTTTTGTATAAATATGAAAGTTCTATACATGTATGACAGTTTTACTTTATATGACTCATTGTAGCTATTATAATTAGATAAATATATTCTTTGTTTGATTGTTTTAGAAAATATACTCTAGTTTGTTTTGAACCAAAAATACTCTTTTTTTGTTTTACTGGGGGCTAATTTAAAGTCTAACACATAAGACATTTGTTAAAATTTTAAAATCGTAAAACAACAAGCCTCTATCCCACTAAGTGGGGTCGAGTGCATGAATCATTTTTCTTCATTATGTCCTATTGAGTGTTATATTTTCATTTAATTCTAATATATTAAGATCAATTTTTATACAATATGCCCAAGTCTTTTTAGATTTACCTCTGTATTTCCTAGCATAACTCGTATCTAAAACATCTACTCTCTTACCGGATCATCAGATGGTCGACTTTTAATGTGACCAAACCATCTAAGACGACTCTCTCTAATCTTGTTCGCCACTGGAGCTACACCAACCCAATCATGGATATATTCATTTTGCATTTTGGCTCTAAGTGTCAAGCCACCCATCCAGCTAAGCATTCTCATCTCAGCAACATTTAACCTTTTTTTATGCTTCTTTTTTAAAGGTCAACATTCTGTGTCATAGAGCATTGAAGGTCTCACGACCATCCTATAAAATTGTATTTTAAGTCTAAGCGGTTCTTTCTTATAACACAATAGAACCGATGCATTGCTCTGCTTCAACCAACTAACTTGAATTCTACTAATAACACTTTAAATTCTACTAATAGCATCCTCATATGTATCACATCACTTTGAACAATTGACCTAAGATATCTAAAACATTCACACTTTTAATGATTTGATTACCCATAGTTACAACTTTGACACTAGAAAATTACATTCCATGTATTCAGTTTAGATCTACTCGAATGAAAGTCTTTAGACTCCAATGCAGACCTCCATAATTTAATTATTTCTTGAATTCTTTCTCTAATCTTATCCAAATAAAGGATATTATCAGCGAAAAGCATACACCATGATACTTACAATGTTAGAATCATATTAAAAAAAAAATCAAAGTCTATTCGAACATTTTTTTAATCATGATTAAACAAGGTTCAAATTATAATTTGAGCCATATTCTCGGAAAATTTTATCTTTGTTTGAACGATGTTGGTACACTATTCGAATAGGGTTCTTATCTTGGTCAAAATGGGTTCAAACATGGTTTAGCTATGTTAGATATAACAGAGTTCATTCCAACAACTTTATGCCAATATTTTTATTTAATCTGAAATGTAATCATAAAGAGTTGAAAACTACAGCAAAGCATCTACATGAATATCTTTCAAATTTACAAGTATATTATTTTTCTCTTTACATTGATGAAAAGGTTCATGCATCTTACTTGCGAAGGAGGAATCCTTGCATATACTTTAGTTCAGGGGTGTTGATCATCTACAACTCTGCACCTTAACTGTTAACACGATAACGACAAGGAAGATTTACATGCATATCACTCTTTTCTTATGTATTTACATATTTACATATATGCCATATTACTTATGCATGAAAAGGGTGTATTTCACTTTTTGAAAGCTAAAATAGTGGTATTTTTTATGTGATATGAAAGATTTGGGTAAAATAAACATAAAAATCAAAACTTAGCTGGTAGATATGTAAATGCATAGAAATTGGCAGGTATTTATATAAATTCTCCTAACTATAAAGGTGCAGTAAAATCTCAGTCATCGATTGAATCCATCCAAATTCAAGATTTTGAAAAAGGAATCATTCAACATCGTGATAATTTTAGATTATAGGTGCCATTATCCATCCCAATGGTAATAGCCTTGAAACTTTTTCAGGATTTTTTATTTAAAATATATGCATAATGAGTCTCATTCTGTTGATTTTGTAATGTTAAAAAATTGATAAATAGATAAAAATGATGTGGTATGCACGTAAATGCAAATCAAATAAAAAACTGCATCCATTATCTGTGCTAACTTAGATTTATACTCTTAAAACATCAGCGAGAAGCCGAAATTCAAACACAGCTGCTCAAGGAAGTGAAGAAGATGATGTTATTGGTTTAGCAGCATTAACGTGAGTCATTATGAATGCATCTTCTTCCATTTTTGTACAGTTTTTCAACAGATCCCAACATCTGAAGATATCAGAGTCATATTGAAGGCAGTATAGGCACCCCATAGAAGAAAAAGAGCAATGAAATGTTTTACTGATAATGGTACTATTTTCTGGAGATTTTGTGGTGGTTTGTTTATTATTGTGTTTTGTACACTAAATGTTGTCTTTATTGTTTAGATGTCACGTTTTGTGATAGGTTTAGCTGATATTGAATCATGATTAACATCATCAGAATCTTATTTTCATTCAGCATTTTTTTTTTCTATTCTTTCCTTTCTTTTGTAAAGCTGTTCTGGTATATGAGAAGTTTTCTGAGAACTTCTGTGTATTTTCTATAATTTCAGTTGGTTTTGAATTGATTTATGTAGCTTATAGGTCTATGTATATGATAATTATACCAAATGAAGTTTTATCGATGTTGATTCAACAAAGTTTTTTTGGTGTTCTGAGGTGACTTGTATGTATAAATGTTGGCTTAAATAACTTTTAGCTCAAGTTCATGTTGTGCATGTTTAGATTAAAATGATCAAGTTTGAGCTATTTTTGAGATTTGTTGCCGAAACACCTTTTAAATTAAAAAAATTGATGTTTTTAAAGATACTTATGTTTGTGTGTCTATATATGTGAATTTATTGCGCCGCATACTCCGGCCTGTTGGTTGGCATCCACAGCATAGGCCCCATCAAGGTGTGGCTTTGAATCCCCTCTGACACAATTGACCTTAGGTTGTTAGGCTCATTAGTGGTGGTTGGAGGTCGTATAATAGCCTCTTGCCATTCCTTATTGAAAATATATATATATGTGTGTGTGAGTTGATTTGACTGAGGTGAATGGAACTAATTTTGAGGGAGCGATTCTTGTGTTGATTAAAATTGATTTTGATCCTTAGTATTGAAATTTGAGTTATGATTTACCAAATGAATTTTGACTTCAGAACCAAATTATGTGCATTATATGAAGTTGTTTAAAGCCAGTTGGATGTATTTCTTATGGTGCATATGAATGACATAACGAAATCTGTTTCATTTGAGACGCAGCAATCTTCTTCCATGTTTACTGGAAGTCATTTCCATGAAATTTTCTTATGCTTATTTTGTCAGCTAAATGAGCTCAAGGGTCTATCTCTTGAAAGCAAAGCCTTAAAATTTTCTTTATAAATAGGGCCCTAGTAGTGCAATAAATAAATGTGAGCAGTGAATTGCCAAGTGAAAGAGACCATGTTGATAAACTAGAAACCTCTAAATGCCTCCATAGATATATTGATGATCTATTTTACCAAAAGTTGATTTGGATAGTGGGATCTCTTTAGAGATAAGATGACAAAAGAGTCATCTAATGAGTCAAAGTACATATTAGCACTATTTATAGAGGAAGTGATAATATATATGGTTTGTTAATGGTATAACATTTTATTTAAAACATTGAATGCTATAGAAATATATGCATACACTAAACGACTTATCTCATAAGAATTATTGTGCATCTTCTTTGCAAATCAATGTTGATCAAATTTAATAAGGATTAGCTTTTTATGAGTTCTAATTAAGTGTCTTAGAGTTCTAACTTTAATTAAAATCAAGTAAGTCCACATCGTCAAACTCTAATTATCATTTTTTTCTTACATCCTAATGTGCACTATACTATTATAATGTGAAGATCCTAACCTAAGGTGGGATGTCACATTAGAGTGCACTAATAGTCAATTAAAATATTTTTTGGAATGCATGTTTTACTAATAGTCAATTAAATTATATTTGGGAGTACATATTTTACTATAAAATAACTTTTTTTTTTTATAATGATCATTATTCATGAATTTTTAATAATTAAAAATAATATCCACAAGCCCCAAATTATGCTAAGGACTAATGATCCTCACCCAAGGAGTGGGGTTGAGCTTGGATGATTTTAAAACATTAGAATTATTATTTTAGTATTTCTTGTAATTTTGATAAATTTCATTTCCATATTAAAGCTTTTAAGGAGAGGTGAAAGTTATAATTGGTTAAATCTCTAGCATATCTAATTTAGCATTTCAAATCAATTATAATTTCTATGAAATAATGAAAATTTATCTGCATATTTCAAAATAGTTTAAAAATACTTAAAAAGATTTAGGCAAACCTAAATATGTTTAGATTACTAATAGAGGTTCATTATGCCTTAATAATTTATTTTTTTTTTTTTTTGTGATTTTTTGAATTATATCAAGGGATTCATGAATGGCTTATACTATAAAAATATTACATTTAAATACTAAAGCTCTAAATAATAAGTTTTATTTTTTTTTTATCTCATATAGATCTCAACAAAAAAATTAGCATTTTATTTTATATTTTTACTCAAATAATTTTTTTTTAATATTTTTTTTAAAAAAAATATCATAAATAAGATAAAACACATTTTAACATTGGCTCAAAAAAGCTTTATTATTATTTAAACAAATTAGTTTTGTGGATTGCAACAAATAGAAAAGTAATATTTGGAAGTTCATCTCATACCTTCAATATTGAGTCCAAAGCTACCCCATCTTTTCTTCCATTAACTCTTGCAATTTATAATGGATTCATATAATCAAGGATCCATTATTAATTGAGATATCACTACAGGTATCAATAAATATTTTAGCAATAGTGTGCACCCATAAAACCTAAATTTAGTTTAAAGGATTATATGTAGTGTATACAACATTAAAGCTAAACTAACTTGCCAAAAATGCGTGTGCATAGCTATTTGTGTGATTTAATTTAAGCATGCACTGTTGCATTAAAGGGCAAATTCAAATATTAACTTTTCATTTACATTGGGCGTCAACTATTTTACAAACACCTGCTAAACAATAGTAAGCACAAGACATAGAATTAGTTTAATGACTTGTGCAGACTATTATACAAAACAGATAATCAATTATTTTTCAAAATAATAGACACAAAAAAAATTGTTATTAGTATTTCAAAAATCAAAATACAACGGGTAATTTATAACTTAAATTACCTAAATGTTTATTTATGCTCTTAACCTTTAATCACCCCATGAAGCTCAACTTGCTCCAAAAATTATCAAAGTGATACGGTGAGTTATAAAATTTACTTCATGGATAAATTGTAGTTCTAGATAACAATAAAGTAAAGGAAGAGAAAAGAATAGACTTTCCAGTCAACATACTCAAAGTTTAAGGAGACAAAAAGCATGGATTTTGACATTAATAATAATTATGCTCGTAAACAATATATCTCTTTTAGATTTATGAACAACAATAAAATCAAGATATTGTAACTTAATCTAGAAGGCATGAAAGGAAACACACATATCTTTACTTATCACTTAATACAGGTGAATTTTAATACAACCATCAAAGAAGCAACACCTAATTACACTATTAATGATAATGACTCCATTTTTTAGCATTGCATTATATAATAAAAGAACAGAAACCTTGCAAAAATACACTTCATTAGTGGCATGACAGATCATAAAATGTGAGAGAGATAAATCATTAAAAGTCAATTGTGACAACAATCTTATAATAGTGATTATATCTCATGCATACAAAAAGAAGTTATAAAAAAGCCCATCAAATACAATATATTTAGAAAATTGTGAATATTATTGATCTAGAAAAGAGATTACCCATGAATAATAATTTAAATATTGAGCTTAAGCACTGAGATCACTTTAAGACTTTCATCTCAGTATGAACCAATTCCCATGCAATATCCAATCAACTCTTGCATTAGTCAAATCTACATCAATTCACATGGATGAAGAATAATTTCTAAATCATATGAATAAATTTTTTAAATCATTTGTAGTTTAGTATGCCAGCTCGGCACAAGAAATTTGTAATTAATTTTTTTGGATGATAGACCATTTTGCCAACTGAATTTTGGTTGAGATTTGTCATCCATGAAATGTTTTGTCGGAAAAGCAATACGGCTGAATTTTTCAGCCACTAAACATTATTGGCTAACTAGCAGTAGTATGTTCAGTTGCTAGAGTATTAGTGGCTAAAAAGCACGGTCGTTGAATTTGTGGTTGATTAACGACTTTTGATTGAGTCGTAAATATAACAACTAAAACTTTTTAGTTACTAATACTGTAGTAGTAAAATTTCTATTGCTAATCTGCCAAAAAACTATATAAAGAAAATAAATAAATAAGGTACCTAACCAATCAAATTTTACATACCTACAATTGTAAAATGAAATACTTAACTTCCATATTCATAACATTTCACAACAGTGTAAGAGAACAAATAGAGAACCATATCGAACAATGTCAAAACAATTAGAAAAAGAAATATCAATAAATCATCTAGTATAATAGTGTCTGCATAATAAATAAACAAAATACAAATGAAATCGTGCACACTAAAAGAAAAAAAAACAAATTGTGTTGCAGTTGTTGTTCTTCCTCCTCGTCCTCCTGATCAACCAAAGGTTGTTTGCCATGGTTATGTGCCTATCATTGCATATGTGAAATAGTTGCATTAAGCCTCTCGACCTAGCATCCATGACTTACTTCATTGCCATATGACACGCCTAAAAATGCATCTTTTTAATATACATTTTATGCTCATTTTTAATATTTTGCACTTAAAATATAAGTATTTTGTGTTCTTTTGGTTTCAGATACATGAAATAAAATTTTGGAGAAAATAGAACAAAAATGGTGCAATTTGGAGTCAAACCGAGCAAAGAAGAAAATTTTGATCTGACACACATTTTGATATGTTTTTCTATGCTTAATCTCTTTTATATTTATCACATGTTTTTGAATGAAAATACACTTTAAAGAAAAGATTATTTTCATGTTTAACTTGTAGGCATAACACTTGCAACAAATTGGAGCTGAAACAAGGAGAAACGAAGCAAAATGGGGGTGCTGCCAGTAGGGTAGCGCTTAAGCGCTACATTCTCGCGCCTAGGCGCCAGAAATGGCCCAAATTCAGTTTGGGTTGGCTTGAACAATTCTGGGCTATTCTAGAAAGTTTCGGGCAGCTATGTACATCCCATGGAGTTATTAAATGAATTTAAACACTTGGAAATGCTCTTGGAGTGAAGAGATGTGTCTCTTGGAGTGAAAAAAGTGTATATCTTGGAGTGAAGATGTTTTTATCTTAGAATGAGGAGGTGCTTGGTTTTTCTTTAAAAGGGGGGTTGTCATCTTATTCAGGGAAGGGAGGGAGAGAGGAGAGTTTGGCATGCGTCTGCAAAGAGGTGAGAGAGAGAGAGAGAGAAAGACAGAGGAGATATGGATTTTACCAGAAGAGAACATAAGAGAAAGAGAGAGAGGGAGGTGGGAGGTAGAAAATGGGTAAGAGATGTGTAAGGAATTGTATGAGCATATGAGCATTGCATGGATCAACAAGAGATTTTGTTGGAGGGATTTTCATATTTCTTTCATAGGGAAAAAGCTAAGTATTGTATTTTTCATTATTTAATAATTTTTGTAAACACTTTCTAGTGGATTTGCTTTAATTTAATGAAATTTTTTTTTGTTTTATCCATGTATTTTTGTAAACACTTTCTAGTGGATTTGCTTTAATTTAATGAAATTTTTTTTTTTTGTTTTATCCATGCTTCGTGAGTAATTTTCTTTACTATTTTCTTTTGATATGAAGTGGTGGCAATAGTAGGAAAACTTATTTTAAGATAGAATAATTTTTATTTTTATGTAATGAGTAATATTTCATTTGCTTCATTGACATAACTTAAGTGACAATATGTTATTTTAAAATCTTTTGTAAGTGAAACTAAGACTCGGGAAAACGGTGCTCTTGCAACTTGAGTGCACTCACATTGTCCGGTTGGCTATGGTAAAGTAGGTTAGGCGACAATGCAAGTTTTAAGGAAATATAATTCATGATCAATTTCTATTAGGAGCCTCTAGGTGACAGTTAGTTGTTAAAACTAATAGAATACTAAGTGTACCTATACACTCGAAAGAGCGTAGGTAGACATATGTTCCTTGTTAGCATAATATTTATTACATAATTCTTTCAATTCTTTTATTGCTTATATCATCATCTTCACTTTACTTTTCTTTTACAATGAAATGGATGCATGTTTAAGAATCTAAATTTGCTTAGAAATTCTCTTATTTTATTAATGTGATATTATTTTCACCAGTTTTTGAATTTACTTTGCAAACTGACCATTTGTAATGTTAAAATTCATTGTGAAGCACAATGATCCTAGAGGGCTATGATTTCACTCAATTTGTGAATACCACACTAACCCTTAGGATGGAGGGGAGCCAAGTCCAAGGAGGAGTGCAAACAGATAAGAAAATAAGTTTTAATGGGCGTAAAATTTGTGTTTCTAGCGTGGCAGGCTAGATTCTTAACCAATTCTGTTTAGAGTTTCAGACTTAAGGCTAGATGTTAGTCCCATAGAGAGGGCACACTAGGCAATGTAGAAGTGAGAGGCTAGAATCTATCCAGCAAAACTAAGGATTTAAAGAACAAACATTAGATTAGTCAATGTTCTTTATGCACTCGAGAGAGGTTAAAGAACATATATGTTCCTATTTGTCACTGACCACATTAAATTCTAATCATTTCATTCTTACACATTATCTAGGTCGTCACATGTGAAAGGTAGTTTGCAACATCTCAAAATTCTTTAAACGAACTCTCTAGTTAGGATTATCTTTAGATATAGGCTTGTATTTAAGAGTAGTTGATAGAAAACACCCTTAATTGTCATTCCAAACTATGACCTGACAGTAGTACACTAGAATTAGCCTAAGGAATTCTTATCTCGTTTCTTTGTGGGATAGATACCCTAGTCTTAAAAGAAAACCATGTACTACTTGAAATGATACATGCTCTTGCGTAGTACCCCTTGCGTGTGAGCTATAAATTAAATTCTAAACTCTACAACATATTTTTTTTGCATATTAGCCGCCATAATTAAACTGAGTTAAGTTTTTGGCATAAGAATTAAATATCTGCATAATTGCAAGTCGGATAAAATATTTGCAGCAATCACCGGAGATTGAAATTGAAGTAATTACACATATATGCATGTGCACATTCTAGGGGGTATCAAGTTTTTAGCGCCGTTGATTTAGGAGAAATTTAGTTTAACCTGTAAGACTTATATTTGGAAATTATAATATTATTATCTAGTGTGTTTAATTATTGCGTGTTTATTTTAAAGAAAATCTAAAATACCAAAAATATTTTTGAGTGCTTAAAGTACTTAATATCTATCATATTAGTTAAGTTTTTAGATTTGTATGCGTAGCTTCGGGAGCTGCAAAACCTTAAACCTTATGAATAAGAACTAAAGAGATATGTTAAGATGATTATGAATCAGAAAAGACTTCATGAATATATTGTAGAAATGGTGGATCAACAAGATAATGAATATTCAATTTTGAATTATAATACTAGCAACTTTGATAGAGTAAACCTTAAGAGGGTAGTGAATTTTCATAAATTTGATCCAGAATATGATTCATCTAGAGATAATCCGGTCCAAAATCAAGGTGATCTTGAATTATCATATATAGATTCATTTCTTATACATTTTAAAGATGATATTAATATTAATACGCAAATGGAGAAAATCATTAGAAGAAAATTTGATCTAAAAAGAAATATAAGGAACAATAATTTGAATCAATCTGAAAAGGAAAAACTGATAAAAAAAACTAAAATTCGAAGATTTAGTAGGAAACTCAGGATTTGGAAAAAGTTGGGCGATTGATCAAAGATTACTTAAATGAAATTTTGATCCGGGAGGAATTCTTTTTCATGCTAACGATGTTAAACTAAGCTTTTCATGGGAGACAATACACGATTATCTGTGTTAGTATGTTTGTGAGTTGTAATTGTTTGTGGTGTACTGTGTTTGTTTTAGTATGGATTGATCAGTTTGATTGATGTTGGTGGATGTTTGGATTGTTAGTGAATTGATTTAATCTTTGTGTCATTATTGATTGATATATTTAATTGATGTCGGTGGATGTTTGGATTGTTTGTGGATTGATTTGATCTTTATGTGTGTCATGAGAGAGATGATTCCTTAATTTCTTATTATAGCTAGACTCGTATATGTTCTATTGTAGTAGTTAGATCAACGATCCACTACTATTCGGGTTTCAACCGGACTTGAGTTTTACAGGGGATACCTTGAGTTTGGATAGTGACAATTCCATCTCAATTTTATTACTTACTTTATCTAATCTTATTTTCTTCAATATGGTTCAATAAACCAGTTGAAAAATAACTTGAGGATGATCTTACACTATCCTTATAATTGTTAGGGGTGCATACTTAAATGAATAAGGTGATGCCTGAGGTTGGTGCTCGCAAGTCATATGTTAGGAATAATCATATTTGTATGATTAGGCCTTATAAAACTTCACTATTATTACTGCAACAACTTTCTGATAGAAGCATTTACAACAATTATTTTTTAAAATAACAACAATCCTAAATATATCATAATTATACAAGTTCAAGCTGAAGCATTTACTGGCTCTATTAGTTTATACCCTGAGGAATGCATGTAAATGGCTCGAGGAACATCAGACACAAAATTTATTTCCAGAAATTTGAGAACGTGCTCTGTTGCTCTCTGGAAAATTCCGGAGAAGCAAAGGCGAGGAAACGCCTCCACATGGCGAACCCTAGAGCATGGGTCCTTGCCAACGAGACTGCAGAGCAGTTGTTCGTCAGGGTTGAGAAAGAGCGGCCTGCCCTCTTCCTCCCTCCTCTCAATCGCATTCCCATTCGCGCAGGCAATGTCGGCAATGTCATCGAAATCACCGGCCCATCTCCCTCAGCGAAGACAGAGATTCTCTTGCAGGCAAACCTAGCCTCCCTTCTTTTCTCCTCTCTCATTAATTTCCCTTCGTTTTTTTTTTTTTGTGATTTTACCTCCTCACAGGCTGCCATCCACTGCATTCTGCCCAAGAAGTGGAATGGAGTACATTTCGGTGGGCTGGAGCGCGTGGTCGCGTACATTGATTTGGATTGTCGCTTTGATGTTCTTCGGCTTGCTCAGGTGTTGAAGCTTCGTATCTTGAGTGCGTATGGTAATGTACTTCCATATGGGCTTATTCTTCTGGTGTTTCTCTTGTTATGCAAGCTTGGTGTTGTTACCTGGTATTGGCATATCCGCTGTTTGTTGTTATAGGATTGAAGAAGGATAAATGCAACGAGACAATGATTTTAAACGTGAGAGACACCTTTTCATACATAGGTTCAACGTACCATGGTGCTATGCATGTAAATATCTCAGTTTAAGTTTGAGATATGCAAATAAATAAGAATTATGTGCTACGTATGTAGATTTTCCTAAGTTGGAGGATGAGGAAAAGACGGAAAGGGAGGACCGGTCTTTTTAACAGGGGCAAGGTGAAATATTGCAAGAAAAGCACTCTACCCATCATAGAAACTTTGAGCTAGAACATCAAAACACCAATTTTTGAGCAGAGTCTACCGTACTAATAATGTTCATGCTCCATACAACCACAACAATTAGGAACACTAAAATCAAGTAGAATATCAAAAGCCTTATTGATTGGTCTTGATTTACTTACTGTATATAACGCGTGTTAATTTTGACAATATGATTTGTAAAGGAATATTCCATATGTTGGTTCTCATACTTTGTTTATCATACTTCGCTGTTTTGCCCAATACGAATGATAAAGTAGTGCATTTTTACTAAAAGCTATATTACTGTGATTTATATACTAAATGATCAAACAATATCTTTTTACCGACAACTATTCTGTTGCAATATAGATATCTATTGCCATTTTCTAGGCTTATTTCACTTGTGAATATCAATATTTTTCTTTGATGAGATTATCAATACTGGCGTGCTTCATAGAGATGAGCAATCTCTTTCACTTACATGTAATTCAATGTTTTGATTGACAAAATGCATCCAGAAAATGCTGATAACAGTTTTACTCTTGAAGTCTTAACTTTAGTCTAGTATTCTTGTTTTTGATATCTATTTCATCATCTTCATGAAAGCTTCAGTTCTACACCATGTAAATTGTTAGCATATGTGATTATAGTATGTACACGTATCATCTTAAACTAAATCAAAATAGTAACATTTGGATAGCATTCAAGCTGAATGTTGCTAATTTTTTATTAAGGCAATCATTTATAGCAAATTGATGTTTAGATAGTGTTTTTATAGGGCCGGCTCTTGGTACCAATTGGGACTTATGTGAAGTCTCTCCAAGAAATAGCTTCAATGGTTCACAAGTTGATCACTTGGATGATGAATTGTTTCTTTCCTGTATGAAGCGTTTCTTGTATATCCGATGCTACAATAGCTCTGAATTTTTGGCTGCATTGAAGGCAAGTGATCTCCATTTTATGTTTCCTTTATGCACATTTTTGTTTTTCTTCATTTGAATTAAAAATCCATATGTTGAAGATAGAAGTTTCATTTAGATAGAAGTTTCATTTTTTTCTTTTTCAAAAAAAAAAAAAACTTTTCATTAAATTAACTCTGTTAGTGCCAAATAGGTTCAAGAATTTATAATGTTTACTTTTGCAGTTGTTTCTTTAATTGGAGCACTATCAAAACCTCTTTTGGAGATGACATGAAAAATTGAAGAGAAATATTTTAATGACTAGTTTTGGAAGTCAATTTTACAATTTATGATTAACAATCTATTAAATCCTTTTTTAGCATTGCATTTACAAATTGGCTAATGTTCCATTTCTAATCTTCTACAATACACCCTTGAGGTTCCTTTTCTATTGTATTGAGATGCCTCTTTGCTTGTTGTTTTAAAAAAAAAAAAAAACTATAAATTTGGTGACTGTGGTCTACGATATTGTTTATTCTGTTACCAAACTTATGGGCTATATTCTAATCTAATATTTAGATATTCATATTCTAAATTGTTAAACATGGCCAACCAATCCATCTTGTTACAAAGGGTGTTGTCATTAGCCTTGTGTGCTAAAATAGATCACATGGATTGTTATAGTGTAATGATGGTTTCATTTAATGAACTCAAGATTTTTACTTCCCTTATGTAGATATGCCTCACATGAGTGTAGGATCCCTAAGTTATACTTTTGATGCTCAAGTTACAAAATGATGAACCCATCCAATTAAACTAGTTAGTAAAATTCCCTTTTACACTTGGTTGGAGATAAAAGACAGGTAGCTTCTTTTTTTTGTTTGTTTAAAGCTCTTAAAAGGCCAAAAATAGAGGTATTGTATCACTAAAAATAAAAATTGGCATTTATAAAGATGTTTATGTGAGATGCCTATCTGATGGATGCTTGCTTCTCACCCTTGCGTTGAAATATATGATGAGAAGGTGATTGCCCAATATAATCTATTTGGGGGCTGCCTAACTTTTGTTCATGGTAAGATGATGATGGTGGACTTTTGCCTTCTACGGCCTTATGGGACAAGAGCGGGAGTCCCATCTAGAATTGATCCTAACTAGTTCTTCCCTGGCTGCCTCGGGGAATTTTTATTCCCTTTGAGTTGGCCGATGTATTATAGGATTTTTTCCATCTTTATTTAGGTTATTATTAGACAATTTTATTTCTTACATGTAAATACATTGTTTAAATCTATTTTCGGCACTTGTTGGTTTTGATTTATGCATTAGAGATTTCTTTCTCTAGTTTTGGCTTTGCTGGGGTGCTGTATCCTTGTTCTTTTTTAGGTGCTGTGGCTATATCTTGATTTGATTTAGGAGGCAGTTTCTCTTGGATGTTCAAAGACTTCTTACTTTGTCAACGTTTGTTGCCATCTTGTTGCTAGGTTGATGTTTTGTAGCAATTTGTGCTGCTCTCTTAGTCACCGTCACTGATTCTCTTGTGTTTCTCATGTTACAACTCCTAAACCATATCTTGGTTTTTTTTCACACCGCATAATAACCCTAGATTGATGTCATTTTGTATAAGAGACATCCACATCCTAAATCTTTTGTAATTTATTTTTTCTTAACCCATATCTCTAAAATTCACATAACCTAATTCATTAACCAATCAAATAACTCAACCATAATCCTATCCTGCATCCATAAGCCTAATGCTAACCCCAAACCACCATCTCTATCTAAGTCAAAACCCTAATTAGGTGAAGAAATACCTTGCAACCGAAGAGAAACATGCAAATGAGTGTTCATGAGCGTGCAATGGAGGATATACAATAGAATAATTTCCAATTGTGCAGATAACCTAAAGAAGTCGCTTATAGTTATAATGCTGATTTGATGGATTGAGAGGAGGAAGTAACCCCTTCCATCGAGAAGTCATCATTGAAGAACTGATGCCCCATTGATTTGACATTGGTAATCAGAGGATTTAAAATAACATAATGGCGAAGATTGACTTATCGGACAGATGTTGGATCCGAATGAATTCTTCTGGTGATTCAAACGGTGGAGTTGGTTTTTGAGTGTAAGAATGTTCCTAAAGACGAGAGAATTAGATTAATAGCCATTAAATAGGAAGAACGCTTCTTTGTGATGAGAAAATGTGAAGCTTCTTCGATAGCATGGAGGGAACAATAAGATCACCTTGTGACATAAGATGAAAAATAGTTCCAATGCAATTACATTCCCCTATCATTATTTGATAAGATATGTTTCTAAAACTCCACAACTTACATTAGAGAATTTTTTTAAGTATAAGATCAAATTTGATCAACTCATGCTGAAATGCGAGTTGATGGAACCAGAGGAACGCATAGTGATTAGATACTTTGGAGGGCTGAAGCCATCTAATTGCAATGTGGTGCAATTGCAGCTTTATTGGTCCCCACTCGATGTACATACCTTAGCTTCAAAAGTGAAGAAGCAACATCATCACTAGGGGATCACCACACCTTATAGTCAGGCTTGATCTTGTAATCAAGCATTAAGAGGACACTACCTGTATCATTTCGTGCTAGCCCCTCGTAAAGAGAAATCACCCTAAGGTGGAAAAAAGTTTGCGGGGGCACCAACATCCTCATTTTCTTTTCAGTTAGAAAGTGCTTTAAGTTTCATGATTTTGGGCATATAACATATACATATCCAAATAGAAGGGTGATAGTTTTATTGAGCAGGGAATAATTAAAGAAATGAACAATGACACTGGAGACATAAGAAAAAAATGAAGATGCTAGAGAGAAGCATCGGTTTTTTTACCAATAAGGAGAGATGTTAGTGGTATGGTTAATCATTTAGATTGAGTCCACATGAGGAAAACGATGGCTTCACCACAAAATATTTTGTACCCGTTTCACAATGAACACAATTGTGTATAGTTTTATCATTGACTGAGCTAGTTTTGAGAACATGATATAATTGATGGCTTAGCTGAGCGTTATCACCTAGAAGCACCCCAAACCATATTCCTTATCTTAGTTGAAAAAAATGAATTGTTATAACAATTGATAAGAAATATCCGAAAGTTTCAGGATCGAGTGTGTTGTAAAATGGTTACTATAGATGGTTCTCACATTTTATTAGGTCATCCTTGACAGTGCGACCATGAACATGTCATAATGGGTACAAGAATATATATTTCCCTACCAATAATGGGAAACACATTGCATTCTTACTTTGGAAGGAGTTCGAGGTATGGGACATTCATATAGAGCTATGGTTTACCTTTATGTAGGTCTTAAGAGAAATACCAGTAGAACTAACATTAGATGTTTTAGAAGGCATTAAGTTTGAGGAGCTAATATCAAACAATGTATAGCCCCTACTGAGAGAGTTTCAAAATGTCCAAATTGTTAGTCTATTTCATAATTTATCACCATTAAGAGAGATCCAACATGCTATAGATTTTATGTCAAAATTTGTCTCCCAAATTCACCTGCCTACTGATGTGGCTAGTCAAGTATGAGGAGTTACAGAAATAGGCCATAAACTTGATGGCTAAAGGCTTGGTCCGTGGGAGAACTAGCCCTTATTTAGTTCCAACTTTGATTGCGTCAAACAATGATGGCTATTTGCATATGTTTATTGTTAACATGGCTTTGAACAAAATTACCATCAAATATTAGTTTTCCATTTCACGTTTATATGATTTGTTTGGTCAATTACATGGAGCTAACCTCTTCTCCAAAATCAGTTTATGAAGCGACTACTATCAGATTAGGATGTGAGTAAGGATATGAGTGGAAGAGAACTTTCAAGATTAGGAATAGATTCTACAATCATGTCGTTTGGCATGTCCAACCCTCCAAGCACTTTGATGCGGATGATGAATTAAGTTTTTATTAGAAATCATTGGGAAATACATTGTTGCATATTTTGATGATATTATGGTGTATAACTGTACTATAGAGGATCACTTACAAGACTTAGAGGAGATTATTGAGATGTTTCAGACAACCCAATTGTACATTCATCTAAAGAAATATCACTTCTTAAAGCCAATACTTGCTTTCTTGGATACATTGTATCTGCAACTGATATAGAGAATAATATAATCATGATATATACCATTGTTAACTAGTCTAATGGTGGAATCATTCTTGTGGGTACGCTAAGTTCATGGAATGACTTTTTTTTATAAAGAGATTTATTAGGAATTTAAGCTCAATCACAATGCTCTTAACAAAATTCCTCAAGCTTGACTGATTCATAGTCAAATGAACCCTACTAACTTTGAAGTTTTGAATAAATAAGTTATTTAGGCTTCTCTCCTAACACTTGTAGATTTTAATCAAGTGATCAAGATGGAGTGCAATGCCTTTAATGTAGTGAGAAGTTCTGCTTAGTTAAGACGAACACTTTATTGTCTTATGTATTGAGAAGTTGACTAAGTCCAGGAGGAAGTATTCTACCTAGGATAAGGAGTTCTATATTATAGTGAGTGCCCTTAGTTATTGGAGCTATTATTTATTAACGAACAAGTTTATTCTCTACGCTGATTACGTGACCTTAAAATACTTGAGCAACCATAATAAGCTAAATGTCGGACATGCCTTGCGGGTGGTACTCCTCTCTCTTTTTATTTTGAGCTTAAGCATAAAGCTGGGAGCCAAAATAATACTGTTGATGCCTTGAGTCACCATCATCTATTGATTTTTTCTATGTAGTCCACAATCGAAGCTGGGAGCCAAAATAATACTGTTGATGCCTTGACCATCATCTATTGATTTTTACTATGTAGTCCACAATCACCGTGTTTGAGGTGTAGAAGGGTTTGTATGCCACCAATAAATATTTTCAAGTGATTCGGGCTCAATGTTAGGAGAGGCCTTATGATCAAACAAGGATTTATATTTTAGGGAGATACTCTTAGACCATCACTTCAAACAAGGATTTGGGATTTTTGAGTCGGTTTTGAAGGACACTATGGAGTTAAGTTAGGTACATAGATCC